CTCCAATACAAACTGCCCCGTTAAATAAATCAAGAAACTTTAACCCGGTGAAGTTAGCTGGACTCCCATTGTTCTAAAATCTGCAATGAATACTAAAACACTTGGGTTCTCCCCTTGTGTTAAACGATAAATCAAAATGGCTAAACTACAAACAAGCTATCTTAAGGCTTAATGTTACTCCTGATTCCAGCCACTGATCATAGCAATAGCACTTCGACTTCTATACCGCTTCATAGTGCTTTTACAGCCCCCTCTAAGCAGTTTTACAGAGTCAGCCTAATTGCCCCCAACAGTTTGGGTCCTCGTTTTACCCATCTCAGAAGGATGGAAGTCTGAGTCAACCTTGAGCCGCTGAGATTTGAACTGCTGAACTGCAGCTAGCAGTCAGCTGAAGCAGCCTGCAGTACTGCACTCTAACCTCTGCGCTACCTCCGATCATAGTGCTTTTGCCTGAGCTAAATCCCTTCTTGCCCTTATGCCTTAGATGTATCACTCTAGACCAGAGGTGTGATTGTGCTGGTTTGGGGTGTCGGTTCATACAACTGATAAACAGCCATGGCTGACAGATTATGGAGAGGTTCACACAACACACTTAACAAGCAAGCCAGAGTTTGCCTTCTCAATCTGTACAAGCTCAGTTGAGAAATCATAAGCGTGCTAGGAAACCAAACCTCCAGCTTCTCCTTGATTAGTTCACTTTTAGTCTGCATAGAAGAAGAGACAGTTCTTAATTCAATCACATGAGTTCCTCATAATCTCAAGCAGTACTATCTAGTCCTAGGTTCACCACCATCAGAATGATTAGAAGGTGTGCTAAGAATCTCAAAGGTTTTTCAAAAGGAGACTGGACGGCTTTTTGACGAAGAAGTCTACAACATTTCCCATCCAGGAAGCTTCGTCGGTGGCGACTGGATGGTCACAAATGATGAAGCTTCTTCGATGAGAAGCTGAAGTTATTCTCCTTCTTGCAAAAACAAACAAAAAAACCCAATCCAGTTGCCTTTTGAAAAAGCACCTTTGAGACTACTATGACCTGGATGATTGAGAATCTCCATTGACATGTGCTAAGAATCCTTTCAACCAGCAAAGCAAAGATGATCACGAACTCATAACATGTAGAATGGCCTCCCTCAGACGCAATCACAATACAACCTAAAGCAAATTTCCCTGATTCTCCTCTTGAACTATGAGTAATGGACTACAATGTCCATCATCCCTGAGCCGAGGCCAGCATCTTCTTCTCACAACCACTAACCAGAAGCCGATCGAAAGCTTACCCAAAGGATATTAATGAAGAACAGTGCCCACCTGCTTATATTGCTGACATATCGCTATTCACAGCTACCCTGTCTTAGATGTTGGGTATCTCTTCAATGTCTCCCCAAACACAGGCCGACTTGTCACTCTCCATCCTCAAATGTGATACCCTCACCTCTTAGAAATTTCTCTCATTTTATCTTAAGTTCCTTGTCTTTTAAATGCACCTTCCTTCCTGAGATTCATTAATTAGGAAAGACAACGTTCTGTGTTTTGATAACTGGGTTCACACTAAATGTCTTAAACATGATTCATTGCACCCAATTTACCAACAAGGATCTTCTTGACTTAAACTACTGCATAAGCCATCTGTTACTGTTAAAGACTAGTTGGGTTTGCACAATGTAATGATTAACCACAGTTTAAACCAGGAATCTTGGGGGGGGGGGTATTTATTTACAGCCCATAGTAAAGATAAAGGTTCCTCTCACAGATATGTACTAGTTGTTCCCATCTCTAGGGGGCCGTGCTCATCTCTGTTTCAAAGCTGAAGAGCCAGCACTGTCTGAAGAAGTCTCCGTGGTCATGTGGCCAGCATGATTAAGCGGCAAAGACTCTGTTCCTTCCCACCAAAACTGGCACCTATTTTTTTATTTCCCATGTTTTTACGTGTTTCTGAACTGCTAGGTTAGCAGAAGCTGGGACAAGTAACAGAAGCTCACTCTGTTACGAGGTGCTAGGGATTCGAACTGCCGAACTGCCAACCTTTCTGATCGACAAGCTCAGCATCTTGGCCACTGAGCCACTGCATCCCTTAGCCCATAGTATAGCATAATTGCATGGATTGATTCTACAAAACACGCTCAGCTAATATATGTTTGGGTTTCAGTATGAATGCAGTCAGTAGCTGTACCTTTGTATTAACAGCCTAACCTAACCTAAAGGATCCTCTTTAACTCCTAAATGAGATGGAGTAAAAGAGACACTATTAAAATCTGATAAATCTGCCAAATACGATCACCGAGGGGGATAAAATACCATATCGTCAAGAACCTCAAAAAGTTCCCATTTTGCAGACATTTCAAAGCCTTCCCCTTTTGTTCATTTGCCCAAGCCTCCCAAATAAATAAATAAATAAAGACACCCACAGAGAAATCAATTAATCTTATACATATTGCAGCTGGGAAGAAATATATAAATGGCTTTATAAATGGTATTAAATTGATAAGGGCATGTTTTGCTGGGCAAAAATTAAATATTGATTCATTTCCAACAGGCAGTCCCCTCTGGAATACGTCTCCCGTTTATTTTTTCCTGGGTTGTTTCCCCCCCCCTCTTTTTTTCGCCCTTTCCTTTCAGCTGTCGTGTTTCTAGCTAAGTAATTACCTTTTGTGTCCTCTCCCTTTTGCAAATCTCGGCTCCTAGTCCCTTGGACACAAAAGTCCTCTGCAAAAAGTTGAGGTTGAAGATTAAAAGTTAATTGGCCCTGAGCCAAGGGGAGGAAGAATGGTCAGGAAAAAAGCTTAGAGATGTGGGGAGGGGAAAAAAAATCTATTGGAAGAGCCACAAATTCAGGCAAGGAGGTGGATGGGTGTGGTGTGGTGGGTATGTGTAGTAGGAATTGGGGGTAGTTTAGTCAAAGTAGAGAATAGTAGACACTGTCATTGTTCCTAAAAACCAACAGAGCCCTCCCAAAGGTGCTTTTTCAAAAGGCAATTAGACTTTCTGGGTTTTTTTTTTCTTTGAAAACATTTCACTTCTCGCCAAAGAAGCTTCTTCAGTTCTAACTCTAACTTATTCCGTTCTAACTCAGAACTGAAGAAGCTTGTTGGATGAGAAGCAAAACTTTTTCAAACAGGGAAAAATACACACACGCACACACACACACACACACACCAAGAATGTCCAGTTATCTTTTGGAAAAGCACCTTTGGGACACCCATGACTTGGATGGTTGAGAATCTCCAAAGACAGCAGAGTCCTCCTTCAAACCTCAAAGAAGAATGTAACATCCATCTAAGAAACAACCTGAGACATAATATAGGTTTGGCCGTAGAGGAGGTGGGTTCCAAAACCTCAGCATCTCTTCTTCAAGCCAAGAATCTGCTTGTGCTGGAACAGATGGAGGCGCACAGTCCAACTCTCAAGATGGCAACGCACTCAACTAGAAAATCTCAAGGTGGCATTTGGCCAGTCTGGAAAGGGGTCTTTGGTCCAAGGCATTCAGGCAGAAACGGAGAACTGTCAATCTTTCACCTGTCTAGCATTATCCCCCTCAATACAACACAAGGTCTGACCTAAGCGTAGTACACAAAATTATCCGCTACAACATCCTACCTGTCAACAACTACTTCAGCTTCAGCCACAACAATACGTGAGCAAACAATAGATACAAACTCAAGGTAAACCACTCCAAACTCAATTGCAGAAAATAGGACTTCAGCAACAGAGAGGTCAACGCCTGGAATGCTCTACCTGACTCCGTTGTTACATCCCCAAACCCCCATAATTTTAACCTAAGTCTACGGTTGCACTCACCCCATTCCTAAGAGGTCTGTAAGGGGGCATGCATAAATGCACCAGGGTGCCTACCATCCCTGTCCTACTGACTCCATTTATCCGTACCCATTTCCTGTGTTCATGTTTATGTTTATACTTATGCCTGTTATCTTTTACATGTTTGACAAACCAAATAAATGAATAAGGTGCTGAGCATCTCCTCTGTAAGATAACAACCTCAGCAGGTCTGTGCCAAAGCCGAAAAGGATCCGGCCCTGGTTTGAAAAGTCAAGCAAGCTGAATAGGATGATGTTTTCCTAAGCTAAAATGCCCCCTCCAGCGGGCACGGGATGGGTAGGAGGCGCTGGGCTTTCACCCAAAGAAACATCTGCTATCAATTTCTTCCAGGCACCCATCCAGACGGAGAGAGAGTCCTTCTGGCTTGCAGCAGGCAACAGGCACCGCCGGCTTGCAATCAATGGGGCATCGAACGGACAATGGGGACGCGCGTTGGGGAGGGTCGGGATTAAAGCCCAACCTGTCGCCCTCCATCTCCGTGCCTGCTCAGAAAGGAAGCGGGCCCGGTTGAATGCAGCGGCTGGACCTCTCCGAGTCGATTTGGCGGTCAGGATCACACTCCGCGCCCGGGTTTTAACCTCGCCAGACTTAGCAAAGAAAAGTGGGGGTTAAAAAAAATCTCAGCCCCGGACAAGCGATCTGGTCCTCCCTTGGCAAAGAAAGGGAGCCATGCCTTCAGCCTTCCGTTCCGATCGACCAAGGATCTCGCTCTTTCGCCTCCAAACCGGATCGGGACGGTTTCCACCGCTCCTTCACCGGTTTCCACTCCGCGCGTCGCCTCTTTCAAAGGAGAAGAGGGGGTCACGGGAGAGGACGCGAGTGGGAAAGTTCTTGCGGGAGCGCAGCGCGCGGGGCAATTGCGAAAAAGTGCGGCGGGGGGAGGAAACCAGGTTATGAGGGGAAGGAAACCAGGTTAGGGGAGAGGGAAACCAGGTTAGGGGGAAGGAAACCAGGTTAGGAGGAAGGGCACCAGGTTAGGAGGAAGGAAACCACGTTAGGGGGAGAGAAATCAGGTTAAGGGGGAGAGAAACCAGGTTAGGGGGAAGGAAACCAGGTATGGGGGAGTGATCTTTCCCATCGACCCTCCACCCCTTCCCACGACCACCACCTCTCTCTCTCTCCCTCCCTCCCCGGACTTGCAGCCCCGCGAAAGTTGCGCGCCTCACCTGCCCGAGGTTCAGGTAACCGTAAGCCGAAGCCAGCCGGTCCGCTTCGCCTGGCCCCCCCAACACCCGCACGGCCCAATGGTTGGTGTAGTAGACGCTTCGTGCCTGCCTGGCCGGCAGGCAAGCCGGCAGCGCCGCCAGCAGGAGCAGGTAGGTTTGCCAAGAGCGCATGGCGGCGGCGAGGAAGTCCCGCGGGCAACCGGAGCGCTCGAGACCCCGCTTTGCTAGCCCGGCGAGAGTGAATGCCTTAGCCCGCCGGTGGGTGGAGCCTCGACCTCTTAAGGCGGCCGCAGCCAGCCGGCAACGGGGGAGGGGGAGAGGGAGGGTGGAGACCGGGCTGAGGGCCTCCCCCGTGCGGGAGTGGAGCTGCGTCCCGGGATCCCGGACAGGCGGGCGTTCCTCGCTGATGCCCGCCTCGGAGCTGCGTTACCAGGGATGCTGCAGCAAAGAAGACGGGTTGATGCTGCTGCTGCTGCTTTGGGCATCCTGCCTTCGGCCAGCCAGCCAGCCAGCCAGCCTGAGCCGTTGGAAGCGAAGCCAACGGATGAGACCCAAGGCTGCCGACTCTCCTCCGCCGACGCTTTGAGAGCTCCGGACGGCACCGACGCAGCTGGGATGGGGTTTGGATTTGGGGATGCAGGAATGCAGAGGTCGTACGTTTGGGGACGCAGGCAGGCTCAAAACTCCTCCACCCTCGCTTTTCCCTCCCCGGGGATTTTGCGGGCCTCAAGCCGACGTCCCAGCCAAGGCTTAGATAGAATCTCTGAATATTTATTCCCCGAAAGGAGTTTTCGGCAAATCGCGTTTTTGTGCGGACCGAGAGGAACTGCGCGCCTCCGTCCCGCTTACCGCTTTTCTCTCCCCCCCGGGGTACTTAAATGAACGCTTTCCCCTTTTCCTGTTTTATTTCGGATTCAAAGATGGATTCTGCACGCCTGGGGTTGTGTAGGGTTTTTGTTTTTTTTTACATTCGGGTGTCTGCTAAGGTTGAACGTAGCTTTAGGCTTTGAGCAAGTGGATGGTGGTATAATAATAAGGTAAAAGTAAAGGTTCCCCTCGCACATATGTGCTAGTCGTTCCCGACTCTAGGGGGCGGTGCTCATCTCCGTTTCAAAGCCGAAGAGCCAGGGCTGTCTGAAGACGTCTCCATGGTCATGTGGCCGGCATGACTAAAGGCGCACAAAATGCTGTTCCCTTCCCACCAAAGGTGGTTCCTATTTTTCTACTTGCATTTTTTTAACGTGCTTTCGAACTGCGAGGTTGGCAGAAGCTGGGAGAAGTCATAGGAGCTCACTCTGTTACACGGCGCTAGGGATTCGAACCGCCGAACTGCT